CTGTTTTTGAAAGTCTGGCTTTATTTTTCGTCTTCGGTTCTCCTGGCGGAAAAGGTAATCAAATACTGGTGCAAAACTCTACCTTTGAGAACAATGCGCATCTCTTGGGTAGGATTGCATTGATACGTCTGCCATCCGATGAAATAGATCCTTCTGCTTGCCACATGGCCAACTGGATTTACAAAAATTACGTGACATTTACGGGAGTTCTCTTCCAAAACAACAGCCGCGAATTCTCCACTACTTTGCGGTTACAAAACGGTTGGTACGTTCTAAAAAACTGCCAATTTGATGAAAATTATGGACAATTCTTAGGCTCAAACATTTTTATCGGTGAGGGATCTGCTCATCTAGAGCTCATCAACTCATCGTTTGAGTTAGCTCGGATGGAAAACGTTCCGCCTAATTTTAGAGGATTCATATACTTTGCAAGCTCAGGATCCATAAAACTTGTCAACACGCGTCTTTCTGTACAGGCCTTTCAAGACATTGACTCTTACTTAATGATCACAAAGTCAAGCTTTTTACGTATTGACATTTCAACGATCATTCAATGCCCTGTTGGGACGGTAAAAAGATTATCAAATTTCTCCCATCATCAATTTGTTACAAACCAGGGCTGTCCATATGGGACTTTCATCGCCAGTTCGCAGTCTTTCACTTATTCTTGTAAACGGTGCGCACCAGGATTTTTCAGCGTTGAACCATTTGCAGAAAACTGTCGACCCTGCCCATACGGTGGCAACTGCACAGAGAATATCGCTGCTAAACCCTCTTTCTGGGGATTTCCCTTACACTCGGACCATGGATCGGTCAACTTTCAGCAATGTCCAGCCGATTACTGCTGTCCTCATCACAATGTTAGCTGTCCATACGACAATCTACGTTATCTGTCAACTGGTTGTTCTGGAGACCGCATTGGTGTTCTCTGTGGATCGTGTAAACCTGGTTTCACAGAAACTCTCTTCTCTGCACAATGCCGAGAAAGTGTCGACTGCACGGATTACTGGTTCTGGTTCGTTGCTTCGTTTTACAGCTTATCATTTGCCTTCTTTCTTCTGTGGAAGACTCCCGTCGTAAATGTGGTAAAGAGGCTGTTTCCGTGGGGAAAACCAAGCCTTGCCGGCCACCACTCCGCAAATAACTCAGAATTGGTGGACGGTGGAGGCTACCTCAAAGTCATTTTCTATTTCTATCAGGTCGCCAGTTTAGTTTTAGAGTCCAAGAACACTGAGATGTATTTATTAGAAAACTACCTGTTACGTTCCGTAATCGGTTGGTTCGACTTCAAAGCAATTAGCTCAAAGGACGGTTTTATTTGCCCATGTCCAGGACTTACAGTGGTTTCAAAGATGTTCTTGCAGGCTTCCCAAGTTTTTGCCGTGCTATTTTGTATCCTATCTATTTTCCTTACCCACGGAGCTATAAGAAACTTTCACAAAAAATCCCCGGTCTTTCCTCCCACAGGACAGTACATGGCAGCCACAACAGACTGCTTCTTGCTAGGATACTCAACACTGACAAGAACAACTCTAAAGGCGTTGAACTGCGTCCCGTTTCAATCAACTTCACGTTTCTTCTATGATGGAAATATCCATTGCTGGCAGTGGTGGCAAAAGATATGCGGCGTTTATATTATCGTTGTTGTAATACCCTTTATCTTTGTTCTGTATCGCGGGTCCAAACTGCTTCACGGTAATGGGATATCGGCAAAGCAGTTTTTGTTCGCATGCCTGTTTCCTTTGCCGTTTGCCTTTCATTGGATGATTTCCTGCAAGAAGGTTTCTCTTAGCCAGGCAGAATCTCTTCAACAGGTTAACGGAGAAGACCTTCCCTTGATTCCAGCAGATCGCAGGACAAGAGATTCCTCCTCCCGTAATCAAATAGCAGAGGTCGTTTACGGACCTTTCAAGCAATGTATTGACAACAATGGTTCTTGTACTGTTTACTGGGAGAGTGTTCTCATTGGTCGACGTCTGATACTAATTTCTCTGGACACTTTTATAGTCCCTCCTTTCATTCGAATGGTTTGCTTAACTTTTGCCTGTGCTTTCATCCTTGCACATCACTTATGGAAGAGGCCGTTTAAAGACTCTCGAGTCAATTACGCAGAGACAATCTCCTTGACCGCCCTGCTTGTTCTGGTAGATATCAATATGGCATTAGGTACGTTTTCTACCAGTGGAGAGATTCTGTCAGACCAGGAACGCATCTGTTTAACGGTTTTGCAGGTAGTTCAAGTTATCATTCTTGGAATAATCCCTGTGCTGTTTATTCTTCTCATAGTGGTTTCTCTCTTGTGGCAGTTGCTAAAGCTTTGCAAACTATGCTGGATTTTGTTCTGCCGATTATTTGTTGAGTAATCGTACCAATCTCTGGCGATGAAGTAGATATATTCCCTTGGATTATTGTCCGGTGAAGACTCAAGAGCGACGTTAGCTAGCTGGACTGTTAGTTGAGTGGCCTGGATGACCTCCAGGCACTAGACACTATATGCCCC